GAGACTTGCTATATACATAATAGCAATTTATCATCATCATCATTATTATTATTCCTTTAGAAACCCTCAAGTTAAGTGTTTTTATATCAATTATCAGATTTTGTCATAATTACTTAACATACATGACATGGAATGCCTGACTATTAATGTGATTCTCAGATTTCTAAGAAGTTTGTCAAAGGCCTATACCACCTCAAGCTATATTGCAGACGTTGCATCAGTCCTGTTTGCCTTGCCTGTAATTAATTAACATGAACAATCTGTCTAGACTTGCATGTCCTTGCCTGGCACAAGTCCTTGTCTGTATGTTTTCTATGTAGGCGTGCAACTACAGTATCTATCCATCTACTGTACATGGTTGTGTTTTTCTTTTAATGGTCTGTTTCTAAATGAATTATTATTGATCTCTCAATACACACATCAAATCTGAGCTTAAATGTCTGGGGAACGTTGGCCCTTGATAGAAGAGAAATGGTTTGATAACTGTGTTTTTAGGGGAAACGAGACCCTATTTCAATGACTTCTTGTCTGTGCAGGCCCTGGGTAAGGCAGCTCTGTCCTTCACTGGATGTTGCAGGCTCTATTGTAGTGCAAGTCACGTTGCACTGAATGAGCAAGATTGCAGGAATATTGTACTCTTTGTTCAGCGATTGGCTGAAAATGAATGCCCTCCACACCTACATACATCCAATCTCCACTGCTTCCTGCAGCTCTAATTATCCATCCTTGGAGAGAGTTTGACAGATACAAGTAGTCACGACTATGCAGATTAACTCTCAGGGCCCTGTAGTGCATTTTTATGTGAAAATAAACAACCCCCCCCACCCCGATCTTTTAATGACCATGCTATTTTTTTTGTTTTCTTATTATATAACAAGCTCCAAACAAGATTTCTGAGACATGGTTTCTTTATCATTCACAAACAAAATTATATTGTTTCTGTTTCTCTTTCAAAGTTGTGGTTTTAACAAAGGCGCACTAATTCTAAATAACATGAATATTCTTATATTTTCTGTAGATATTTGCCAAGCTAGCTGTGTTCTTGCTGCTTGAAAAAAGAAGGTCCAAATGAAAATGGGCTAGATTCTTTCATGGCAGCCTTTTCTGTTTGTGTTATGATTTCTGAGACAGATTTATCCATTCAACATAATGGTAAAACAGAATGTAAATCAGTCTGTACAGCAAATTGTGTTCCCTATAGAACACACTGACTGGTTTTATCAGTTTTTTCTTTTGTATTTAATACATCAATAGAGTCACAGACAATAGCAATAAGCATTGCCTTTTGCTATGTTGTTCTCACAGTCTTAGCTTCCAAATAGATACTTCAGGGAAAAAAACAAACATTTATCCATTTTCTAACAGTTTATCCAATGGGGTGGGGGGGGCGTACAGCGTGTACAGGATGCTAGTCCATCGCAGGAACTCATTGATACAAAACACAGACTCACACTTAGGACCAATTCTCCCAGAAGCCAGTTAACCTACCAGTATGGCTTTTGGCTGTGCGAGGAAACTGGAGCACCTGGAGGAAACCCCACAAACATGGGGAGAACATATAAACTTCATGCAGATACTGTAGCACCCCAGGTCCAGAATTTAACCAAGGGCCCCAATGGCAACTATACACTGCTCCACCGTGCCACCCTTGGAAAAAACATTTTTTACAGAATTATAATTATATAGAATTATATACATTATACTGCTGTGTGTGTGGAAAACAAGGTCATGGGACTAAGAAGTAACTACAAATGTTTTATATTTTTCTCTGCTTTACCAGAGAAATGCTACAGATCAATCCCTAATTTACCATTTCTATCAAACGTTTTAAAGCATGTGTTTGCACATCAACTACGGACATGTGTGATAGCTAATGACTTGTTTGAGCCATTTCAGTCTGGCTTCCACTCAAATCATAGCACTGAGACTGCTCTTGTCAGGGTTTTGAATGATTTACTTACTGCCCCTGACTTGGGGTCTATAAGTATCCTTTTGCTCCTCTATCTTAGCACTGCTTTTGATACAGTAAATCGTTCAGTTTTGCTTAGTCACTTGCAGGCATTCTTGTTTTTCAGTGGTTCTGTCTTCAATTGGTTTTGCTCCTGTCTGACTGGCAGGCAGCATTTTGTCTCCATTGGCGCTCATACATCCCCCATGGCCCCGGTCAATCATGGTGTGCCTCAGGGTACAGTCTTGGGTCCTTTACTTTTTATTATTTATTTGCTACCTCTGTCCAAATTATACTCAAACATGGTCTTCAGTTTCACTTCTTCCCCCTCTGGTCTCCCTCCTCCATCACTTATCTCTTGTTTGTGTGACATCAAACTCTGCTTGACATCAAATTCCCTGAATCTAAATAGTGACAAAATAGAAATTTTACTGGTGGGCAGCAAATATTAGTTGGATAAACTTAAGGGTTCCACTGTAAAGATGGAAGGCTTACCCATTTACACGTCAGCCATAGTCAGCCCGGGTGTCACACTTGATCCTCTCCTGGCTTTTGAGCCACATGTGAAACATTTGATTAAGACAACGTTCTTTCACCTTAGAAATATTGCCCGCATTAGGTCATTTCAGCATGTCCGATGCTGAGTTCCTGTTCCATGCATTTATAACATCAGGATTTGATTTCTCCAACTTTTTGCTGTGTTGGCTCCTAAGTTTCTTCTCAGCAAGTTGTAATATGTTCAAAACCCTGGCAGCATATCACTCCTACACTTACTGTAAGTCTCTACATTGGTTGCCTGTAAAGTCACATATTCAATACAAGATCTTGTTGCTGACTTTCAATGCTCTAAACAATCTGGCTCCATCATACATCTCTGAACTCCTCCATGTTTACACTCCCCCCCCCACCCTCATAGGCTCAGTTCAGTTGAGGCCAGTCCTCTACTCACTGTCCCCAAGACTAAATCCCAGACTTTTGACAACAGTGACACAATGTCTGTAACTCTCTTCAAATCTAAACTTAAAACTTAACTTTTTTCCCAAGGTCCATATTTGATTGCCTATAGTCAATTTGTAAAAGCCTGCTTTTTTTATCATTTACTCTTATTGTACCTTTCTTGTCTTTTTCTTTACTCTTCATGTACAGTGTCCTTGGATTTGGAAAGGTGCTTTATAAATAAAAGTTATTATTATTAAATGTTTTTAAAAAATGTAACAATTTATTTGAAGCTCACACTGACATTGCTGTAAGTGTGCAGGTACCCATAAGGGGCCACTGTTTGCCGCTCAGCCAAAGCAACCCTGGCTCCCAATGGTCCACTGCCACTTGGAGAATCTCAGTCACAGTCAGCTAGTAACAACCAGTAATTCCTATAATAAAATTGTTTTGAACAGCCTCAGCTTCCAACAATATCCTATTAGCCATTATTTATTGCACAGACACATTTTTAAATGTCATATTTTATTCAAAGCTCTAGACTGAAGACTTCTAAGGGAGTGATTTGCTTCAAGGAATGTCAGCAAAAAATAAAGAGAAAAATGAAATATATTGATTGCATATGTATTCAGACCCCTGAACTCTATATTTAGTGGAAACACCTTTGCAGAAATTATAGTCACATGTTTTTTTTATATGTTTCAACCAACTTTCCACATTGGCTTGGTGCACTTTTTGTCCATTTTTCTTGGTGGATTTGCTCAAGATCTCTCAAGGTGCTTGGGGATCAGTTATAAACAACAGTTTTCAAGTCTTTTTACAGATTTTCAGTAGAATCCAACTAAGCCCAATACTTTGACTGGGCCACTCAAGGACATTCACTTTTCTTAAACCATTTTTTTCTACAACCACTCTAGTGTAGCATTAGCCTTGTGCTTTTCGCTGAAAGGTGACTGTATTCCCCAGTCTTAAATGTTTATCAGACTGAAACAAGCTTTCTTCATTCATTATTCCTTCAATCCTAAAAAAGTTTCTTGTCCTTGCTGAAGCATCCCCATAGCATGATTCTCCCTACGATGCTTGACTAACGATGATGTTGAACGTGTAGGTTTTTTGCCTGATCTAATGTTTTGCAGTGCAGCAAAAAGTTTTGCTCATCAGAATCTTACAGTCAGTCACTGCCTAAAGAGATCAAATACTGAAAACATCTTGGAAGGAGAGCCAGTATTGTGTCTCTTTGGAAGGCTGAATATTTAGAATGGTAAAATAATTAAATACTATTCTTAGTTATATGTAGTGTTCAGTGTTTTTATACTAAATCAAGGAGACATTAAAATGTTATTTTCTTCTATTTTTACCATTTTTCTTCCTACATAAAGGTAATTTGATTATAATATCAGCTTTATGTTGTAACTTAGAAAGTAAGATAGTACTTGCTCTTATTTTCTTTCCAATTCTATCAAACTGAGAATCACCTTACCATGATTTTGTGTTTGCTTCCCCCAATACAAAAGTGTATGTCTGTTGTATTGCACATTGACACCCTGGTAAGACTACACAAAGTTCACATGACTGCTTAATCACACAAGAATTTTACATGACTCACAAACTTTTAGTCCCACAAGTGTCCAACACCATGTCAGAGAGTGCAGACAAAGTCAGTGTTGGATCTCTCTGTGTTCTATCACTGGGACAGGCAAACTTGGCCTCTAGCTCTGAATGGCAATGTACTGTAGGGCTTCAGATCAAACAGGACTTTAATCACTCAGGAGACAGTGTTTCACTTCTTTGACTCTGCTGTTAAAGTTGATTTGAATAATAAAGGATTAATTAGAATAAAAACCTGCCAAAAATTGATTAGAATTACCAAGGGCGCCTAGCTGTGACCTTGGAAATGCCCTTTCAATTAAGTAATTTTAGTTTTAATCAGCTGTCCGTGCTATTGAGCATATTAAAAACTACACTATAACAGGACGGATAACATACATGCAACATAATAACAACATAATATTTTGCCCTCAAAAGTATTAAGACAGAAAAGTTAAGACTGTTGTCTGCTTTAAAGTCAAGCAATTTATTTTTTAGACTTTGAAAATCCTGTGTTGTATATGTTCATTCCATGCGTACATTTGATCATATTAGGTCATAAACTTACAAAAACATTGCCTTGTGATTTCAAGTGACCATAAGTATTTGGACACATTCACATTAAGTAAATATGATAGTGTAAAAGGGAGTCTAACGTGATCAGATCTACAGTAAGTAATTACTATTTACTTTGCTTTCACTTTACAAAATTCTATTTTCCCTTTACAGACATCAAATCTAAAAATATCATTTTTTACATAGATACTGTATGTACAGCCTTAGGTTAGTTTAATAAAAACACTTAGCTACTTCATTTTAAAAATAGCATCTTTTATTCCAGATTTACCTTTATCCTTTTCTTTTCCTATATGGAGTCAGACAAATCAGCTGTACGCTTGTAAGAGTTAAATATGTCATTAGAGGCTTCAGACCCTTTGAATATCAATAACTGGCACCAATCTTCTGTAATTTTCAGTGTGCCCATTGACATGCTGATCACTTAGAGAGCGAAACAAAGAGGCTGTATGTTCGTATTACCAATTTTCATGTGAATGACTCAGTACAGTAACAAAAAAACCTGCAAGAGAAAAAGATGTTCCACCATCGGTTTGCTTAACATTGTCTTAAAGAAGGCTTTCCAAATGCATTGTTAGAAAAACAATAACCACACCACACCAATGAGGAGGCAAATCACCCTAAAAACGCTATTTGAAAGCCTTTTCAGAACAAAACAGCAGCACCTGTAAGGGGAATGGATTCTTCCACTATTCCGCAAGCCTTCCCTGAATGACTCATCCAGCTCCTTTCTTATTGGATAAGACCATTTTGCTCCCAAGGGATCGTCTTGCATAGCTTGCAAGGCCCTCCTTCATTCACAGAAACATTGGTATGCGAGCCAGCCATTTCATTCACATAAAAATATTATTTTCATTCACATTTCGACATCTTCTCTGCTGCTTGCTGTGGAGCTATACACATGTATCTAGATTTTATTTTGGTTTTGTTAACAGAACAAACCTGGTGTGTTTTTTTGTTTTGTTTTTTTTTTTTATGTTTTTTGCTGGCAAGCAGGCTTTTGACAAGGTAGAGCGAAAGACTGCAGTGTGCGAGCTGTAGCAGGATTAGGGAATGGTTATGAATGACTGTCGATCACCAGAGACCATTTCCTCTAGAAATCTGCATTAATCGTTAGTTCTATAAATAGACTGTGTGCTGTCTTATGAAATTATAATTGTTTCTCTTCTATTTTAAGCATGAAATGTCAGTTGTGTAGTTTGCCTCTGCAGCCGGATTGCTGCTTTGAGGTGTGTGTTTCTTTATTCAGCAGGGTAAATTGATACTGGTTGAAACAAAAGCTTGAGAATTATATGCAGCATTGATTCATACTGGCATTAGAATTGTTAACTGTTTTGTGTTGTGTTTTTCTAAATATTTTAGTGAGTGTGAAGTCTGCGAAATTGAAGAAAGAGAAATTGGGTTTTTCTCTAAGCTGTCTTTGAATGGAATTCTATACACAGATATGCAATTTGTAATGCAGACTATATGTTTGAAATATGAAATAACTGAAATAACCAAGACATGGAAACTCCGTCTTTAAAATGAAAATTTCTCCCTTGTGAATGGTCATTTTACTAATTTTCTTATTTAATGAAAAATTAGAAAGATAGCATTGGTTTTAAAGTCATACAAAATTAATGACTTTTGAAAATTGAACAACAATGTTTTTATGGCATCATATTAACAATAAAGTCAATATACATTTTTAAAATCTATTTTCCTTGGTGAGGAATTCCAGAATTTTAAAGCTGTTGACCTTGCATTCTCTCTTGAACATTATAACATTAAACGTATAATTAATTATATAAAAAGATTACTTTTTAAAATGACATAGATATGAATTTGAGTTTGTGTTTTTAAGTAAAAGGTATAGTTTATGTATTATTGGATACATAACAGTTTGGATTATTGTATATAATTTTCCTCTTATCTTTATCTTTTCATTTAATCCTTAAGGGCAGATCGTCTTTCTTTTTAAATAAAATCAACTGTATCTGAGCTCCATGCTGCAGTAAAAAAAAAGATTTAATTAGCAATTGGATCTATAAGAGAAGAAAGCATAGTGTATAAGAAAGCAGATAGAATAATTTGATGAATATTAATTTGCTGCTGATTAGGGCTTTTTAACTTTCTGCTAAATAATAAAAAAACGTTTTCTGCAGTTAGGGAAAAATATCAGTCTGGGAAATTTGAGAATTGATTGGTTCTAGTGTGCTGTAAGTGGGTGGATTTTTTTTTGCTACAGGAAGTGATTTGCAGTGTTCAGTGAGCCTTTTGTTGAGAAGGGTCTTCTCAGTTCTGTGAGTCATGCTTTTGCTGTGAGCGGGTTGGCAGCCATGAGAGAACTAGGGATCTCTACCATATAGCAGTGTTACTTTCCTCTCTGGAGCTCACTGGTAGGAACAAGCATCTGGGCTGGGTTTGGAATCTTCCGCTGCCTTTTTTCATGGATTGTCTGTATTTTTTGTTTAGTTTTATTGCCATTCTTTTATTTTTTAACTGACCTGAAGCTCTGGCTCTCTACAAAAAGAGGAAAAAAAAATGACCTCCCACTGCCTGCTGCTGCTATGAGGCATTTGTTATGTTAAAGGAGGCGATAATTAGGTTGGCATCACATCTGCCAGTACGTATGCAGGCAACAAGATAGAAGGGCATGCTTCACCGTACCAAATACAACCGTTTCAGGAATGAGTCCGTGACATCCGTCGACGAGCTTCTCCAGAACCTGTCCATGAACAGCAAGGTCTCAGCTGCCCCGGCGACCTCCGCTGAGCCCTCGTACCCGACGCCGGCCGAGGTCCTCCGCGCTGACCCCGAGGATGGAGCCACCACCCTCTGTACCCTTATCCACAAAGTGTCCAACCTGAAGTTTGCCAACACAGGCAGCCTCCTGGGCATCAAGAGCCTCCCCTCCGCGGTGAAAGACCTCGCCGTCTCCAAACTGCAGGGCGGCAGCTCCACCACTCCCAGCACATCGGCGGCAGCCTCCGACAACTCATGTAACTCTGCCTTTGGCACTCTGTGTTCTCAACAGGACGTGGGCAAAATGAGTACGGGGAAAAAGAGCAGGTTGGAGGAAATGCACCTGGGAGGGGACGATTGGAATCAGAGCGGCACTGTTGTCAATAAACCCTCCAGAGGATGGTTGCACTCGAGCGAGAAGATCTCCGGACCAGGTGTGACGTACATTGTAAAGGTTGGTCTGTCTCTGTTTTCATTCCGTCTTTTCTCTCAATGAACGAGTTGATCATTAAAAAGAAAAGGACGGTCGGTCTACCTGTTGTTTTCCTTTGATAAAATTAAAAAGAACACAGTAAAAGGCAGGTGAATGTGTGTAAGGGGAGGGGGGGTTAAATAATTCATGGAGCTGAGAAGGTCATCAGTCTGAAATTGGAAAAGCTAGACAGCAAGAGAGGGATAGAAAAACATTTAACCCTGTGAGGGCCAAGCACCATTTATTTTTAATTACTTACATTTAATTATTTACATTCTGCTCCAAGTTTGTCATTCACATTTTTGAACACCATTTTCTCTCTGCATTCTCACATATGGCACACAATGTGGCAACAGCTTTTGTTTTCACAAACTAGTGGTCTCCTTTCCTCACAACAGGCACACAAGGAAATGTGCATTAGATGTGTGATGCACTGCATCTTCCTCGTCAATATTTTGTGAGAATTAATGAAAAACCTACCCTTACGAGTGTAGGTGGTGACTACCCTTGCAGCATAGATCGAGCAGTCGTCTGCTGTAAAAAAAGCTCTTGTTGTTTTACATATATGCGCACATTTCTCTCTATGTTTTGATTCATTTAACCTTAAGAAATAACAGGCTCAGAAAGAAACAGAAGTACAAGGTGCTGTGTATGCTTTTCAGGATCTCTTTTTCAAATACATTCAGCAATAAGTATATCATTACATTGCGTACACACATGTATATGCCATTATGTTAATGTTTATTCATATATTTTAGCAAAATCTGATACTGAAAAAGTAGTTTTATAGTTTGCATCTTCTATAGCTGAAAAATGTTCACCATTAAACAAATATCAATTATTTTAGTTACATCAGAAGGATATCAATTTGCAGGTCCATTTGTGTTGTGGTTAAAGAAGTAGCTTTCTTTCTTTAATGTCTGTGTGATATGGATATAATCATATGCCTATTGTTTTTTTTTTCTGGATTCTTTTTTCACTGTAGTGGCATTTTGTGTATGGTACACGACAGTAAAACAATATATTAAAATAAATAACAGAACTAAGTCAGCTTTTTTCTCAGCTTTGTGAAAATCTATTATCCGTAACAGAAATCACACCAGTAGCTGTTGTTTTTTTCCCTGTTATTTTAACCTTTGCAAATCCATTAGAAGAATACTCAACATTTGAACTGACCAGAGCGCCCCAAAATAAAAAGTTTAGATAAATGTACAAATTTCCCATCAGGTGAATGTTATTTGGATGGATTTTGATCCATGTAACATAAGATTAGATTGATACCCGGCTTCTCAGTCTCCCTCAACATGACCTTTTAACAATAACCTTTACTTCTACAAAAGAAGCCCTTATATAAAGAGAGATATTGCGAAGGGTGCAGTTCCCACACCATTAACAATTAGCTGCTGGAGTACTGTGCATTTGAAGTACTCAGTCAATACCTTGAAAATGTACATACTGCAGAAAAGCCTCTCTGAGGTACCTAGTGGCAATGTATTGAGTTTAAAGTGTAATTTTGCTTGCAGCATTTTTAATTAGTGCCATGTGCTTGGCCATATTCTTCATGCACCATTAGTTAGAAAAGACAATAATATTAATTGACATTCTTTTCTGACTTTCATTTTGAACATAGACCAAATGAGATGGTAGATGTTTGTGTTCATTTGCATTTGTGTCGTAACGCAGTGCATGTGCATCGTTTGCTAACTTCTGTTGTATTTCACTTGATCATTCACAAAGCATGTCCTTTTGAGGAATAAAAGGATAATTCTTTACTCAGTCAGTGACTTTTGTTTTCCAGTGTTTGTTTTCCAGCGTTTTTTAATATTAGCATGTCATTGAAGTGTTCTAGTAAATATAGTCCTTTAAATTCACCTCATATCACTTTGTTAGCAAAAAATCTGTGAAATAAATTGACTATGTTTTACTTAGTTCTCGGCTATAGTGGAGGATTGTGAATAGCTTAAAAGGGCAACACACCAAACCATACTTCTTTATCTTTTTGATTTTTATTAAAATATCATGACGTGTTTCTAGGTTTGAATTTTGTTTTTAAATCTAACTCAACAGTGGGGAAACATTATATTTTATGTTCTGTAGGGCACACAGTGTACTGGCTGATTAAATATCAATATTTGAAGTTCTATTTTTGCACTTGATGTGTTTAATTTGAAGACATGAGATTGCACACAAAATGCTGCTTCCAGACAATGGTTAAGGCTGATGGTGTCGTTCGCACTTTCATGTAGAAAACCAGAACAGTCCACTGTAAACAACATTTTGTGTTGAATTGAAATGACAATCCAAACAAAGTACTAAAATTCTTTAAATACATAGTATGCCCAATGTGTCTGAATTTTCTGAACAAGAAAAGGTTCAAGGAGGGTATCGCTGATAATGAAGAGTAGCTTTAATTTCAGTCTCCTGACCAAGAAATTCCTCTTATCCGTATCAGATATTGTGGTGAAGCCTTTCCTTTCGCAGCCTGGATAGATAAGATGGATACCGATTTTGAAGATAATGGTGGCCACATAACATGATTTGGTATTGTCCCATATCTTTTATTTCTTCCAGTAAACGATGGAGCACTGCTTTTTCAATGTACTCTGCCTTAGAATTTTGTCTGTTTCTAGGAATTTAGTCAGTCTTTCTCCTAGTCACCTCAACCTCACCTTAGCAGTAGCTCCTCACGTGTTATAGAAGCAACTCTTTAAGATCGGTGAAGGGTACTTTCAACATATTTTTGTATTATCTGTATTTTTCTAATGTCCGTGCATTTCATAGTAAGTCTTTTTTTAAATAAAAATACCATGTTGTGATGTCAGGTTCAATATAAATGTTCAGATAAACAACAAATAATTTAAATTAATACAAGAATACAAAGTATGGATATACTCCATATTATTTTTAATATCTGCATTATTGCAAAGTTCAACATGGCGAATTAACCTTACACAAATGGGTTTTGCCATGTACTGCCTTTGTCAGTGTGGATTATTTTTAATCTGTAGCTGGAGTGTTTGTTTTCCTTGAAAATATGTATTATGATAAATATTTTAAGTATTACCCTGTACTGTAAATCCATTAAATTATACTCTATATGTAGATTTTCTTTGAGATATCTTCATTTAACAATTGCTAAAATGTTAAGCAAGGGGAGTTCAATTTTCTTTTTACAAATTTCACAAAGGAAGACATTAAGGTTGTTAATCTTTGAAAATGTATATGAGTTGATTAATTACTGGAAATATTTAGTCTGTCAGGTTGACTTGGACTGGTGCCAGCTGTGGTTACTAGTACTGGCTGGATTATCAGATTGAAGTATTGGACTGGAGTTGGTTGAAGTAAATCACTGTGCCGTCTGGATTATCATATTCGAGTATTAGACTGGAGTTACTGGAGTATCTCATTAGTACTGGCTGGATTATCAGATTGAAGTATCTCACAAATGCTGGCTGGATTATCAGATTGAAGTATTGGACTGGAATTGGTTGAAGTAAATCACTGTGCAAATACATGTGTAATTCAAAGAAACAAACCAGAAGATCTTATGTAGTTAATCACTCTTAGATTCAGATTTCTAACAGAGGCTCCAGGTTTGAAGGCCTCATAGCCTGTTACAATTAATCTGTTTGATCAGATAATGTTAGTCAATTATAAATCTCCAATTTACTACATTCACAGAATTCAGTGGTATTACCACATTTCAATCTCTACACTGTTGTTATTTTAATTAAATGGATTTTGTGATAAAGTAGGCTGGTAATTCATTATTTTTTACAAATATATTTATAGATTTTTTTATCATTTATACCTGATTTTGTTCGTACATATGAAATGCACCATATTTTATTAAATTGTATGTGATGCAGTACATAAACTGATAATATAGCGTACTGTATATACAACATATTGTCTCTCAGTATGCTGCATTAAATAAAAGATGTAATGCAATACACGGGCAGCTTATGTTTTTCCTAGGGACATTTTGGTCATTTTGTGTTCAGAACACATGCGTGTGCAAAGCTGTGTGTCACCATTGCTGGATTCAGTACTGCAGTGAATTCTGACAGCAGGTGCTACACCTCTGCACTATAAAAACATGAGTAGTTCCCGTTATCTGTACTGTTTTTTTTGCAATTTACTATATTGGAATGGAATTGCTGGTATTCGATGGTATTCGATGAAATGGTAATGAGCTATTCCACTCCCTAACAAAAAAATATTCTCATTTTCTTCTGGTTAATTTCAAGTCTCTTTGTGTTTTGAGAAAATGTGGATATTAAATTTCTGTTAAACGTACAAGTTGTGCTGTATGGAAAAAAGTAGACATCAAATATATCAAAACAGATGTTGCTGGGCAAGCATTTTTGAATACGGTACAAATGAAACTCATAGACTAGAACTCATTGATTGATGCAGTAGTTGTAGGTCATAGTTTTGGGATTATAGTCCAGAGAAGGTAAAAGTATTTTTTAATTTGGGCGAGTCAGTTTTTTCTGATAAATGTTTAATTGCATGGTTATCCAGACTGAAGTTCTAATATATATACTTAGAAGTTTTTTATGTTAAGTCATTAAGAAAATGCACTATTCTAAATCTATCATTTTAAATGAGAATAGAAACTTTTCAGATGCTTACTTATAGCAATCTTTCATCCAGCAATACGAACTAATACAATGTCCACTCTGTATGCTAAGTTTAAATAAATATTTTTAATTTTTAATAAATGGTTAAAAATCCCAAATAAATTAAAAATGAAAGAATATCTTATTATTATGCAGTTGAAGTTGGGCTCCGCATGCCTCACATAAAATGTTTTGATGTTTATCCTTTCTTGTGAAGGTGCAAGCTACCGTGAAAGCTGCTTTCTACAGAAACAAACTCCTGAAAGAAACATGTCTGTATACTGTTTATGAGAAAACAATTTTTAAATACACATTAATATACATTTTAAAAAGTGTAATCTACATTTAGTATGGAGG